ACTTATTTATTCTTTTCTAATTTCTTCAGTTGGAAACTCAGTATAATGATTTTCAATTTTCTTCTCTTCTAAAATATGCATTTCGTTCTAAAAAGTTCCTTCTCAGTACTTCATTAGCTATAACTCACAAATGCTGATACTCTGTATTGTGATTTGGGGTCATTTACAAACATATTCAATGTCCATGGAGGTTATTTAGAAGTATGGTATTCAATAGTAAGTGTTATATTCTTCTGTTATGGAGTTCTCGCTTAATCTTATCTTTGTGAGAAAGTCTATGTTGGATGATTATAATTTTTTAATTTGTAAGTTTTGGGGGTTTTTTTCCCATTACCTAGAACAAGAATGTTCTTGGGCACTAGAAAGGAGCGTGTGCTCTGCTGTTGTGGGTGAAGTGTTCAGTGAATGTCAGTTAGGTCCGAGGACTCGGTGGTTTTGCTGGGTTCTACTAGATCCTCAATTGGTTTCCTCCCGTGGGCCGCATCAGTTATACAACAGGAAATTCAAGTCTCCAACTGCAGTTTCAGTTCTCAGATCTTTTGGACCGCACCTGTTTTGAAACCATGAATGCCTACACACTTGGGATTATAGTTTATGCACAATGATTTAACATACCAGGCCAGAGACAGGCATTCCTAGAAAGACATACTTACAAGGTTGGCTTTTAGCTGAGCCTGGGAACTGCGAGGGGAACAGTTGCTGCACTAGTATAAACCTGGCCCCAAGGGATCGGAATGACTCACTGCTCCTAAACCCTCAGCATGAGCAATGGTCTACGCTGAACACTGCCCGCCTTCTGGGAGTCCAGAGCTTCAGTACGCGCCAGGCAGAGAGGAACTAACCACACAACTCTCCCTGGACTAAAACCATAGATATCTACACCCAGGATGTTCTTGGGTAGAAAACCCTCCACCCATGTTATCACAACTCACTGATGTGGAGTTCAGGGATCCTCAACTGTTGGAATGCACTGAAGAGGCTCCTGGAAGCTCTCACCTGGCTTCCTCAGGACGTCTCCCCATGGGACTTTCCCTCCTGCGATTCTTGCTCTGTGTCCCTTGCCTAAATAAATCTTAGCTCTGGGAACAACCATATCACCACAACAGAAAGAAGAGGGGTGAACTCTCTCCTTGTGGAGGTG